TCCATTGTGTATATGTACCATATCTTCTTCATCCATTCATCTATTGATGGACACTTAGGTTGCGTCCATGTCTTGGCTGTGGTAAATAATGTGGCAATAAACATAGGGGGGCATATGTCTCTTTGAATTAGGGATTTTTGTTTTCTTCAGGTAAATTCCTAGAAGTAGAATTACTGGGTCATTTGGTATTTCCATTTTTAGTTTTTTGAGGAACCTTCATACTGCTTTCCACAGCAGTTGTACCAATTTACATTCCCACCCACACTGTAGAAGGGTTCCCTTTTCTCCACATCCTCACCAACACTTGTCATTTCTTGTCTTTCGGGTAGTGGCCTTTCTAACTGGTGTGAGGTGATATCTCATTGTGGTTTTGATTTACATTTCTCTGATGATTAGCTATGTGAAGCATCTTTTCATGTGCCTTTTGGCCATTTATATATCTTATGTGGAAAAATGTCTGTTCAGTTCCTCTGTCCATTTTTAGATCAGGTTATTTGTTTTTTTCCATGTCTTGATGCATCTATCCTAAAATGTTACATCAATGACTTTACCCATCTGTATAATCAGCTATTACTGCAATAATGCTGCATAACAAATAACTTCATAATCTTGGTGGCTCATGTCAACAAATACCTAAATTTGTTTACTTATGCTCATAAGAGTTGAAGTTGTGCTGATGTCAGCCAGACTCAGCCAGGCTTGGCTCTAGGAGAAGGGCTAGGTCAGGCCCATTCCATCACTATGAGTCTGAGGTCAGGGGAGGGACAGCAGCCTTCAGGACATATTCATATGTTACGGCAGAAATGCAAGGGCAAAGGAAAACTATAAAAAACATATTTTAGACTTCTAAAACATTCCATGAGCCCAAACAAGTCACATGGCCAAAAGCTGACATTAAATAGGGCAGTACTCTACACTTAGTCAGAGAAGTGAGTGAATTTGTGTTGACAATAATCCTATCACACCAACTGACATTGAAGGTGAGAAGAATTTTAAAAAAAAGAATGTGAGAAGGAAATCCTGCCATTTTCAGCAACATGGATCATGGATGGACTTTGAAGGCATTATGCTAAATAAGTCAGACAAAGATGAATATTACATAATATCACTTATATGTGGAATCTAAAAAAGTCAAACTAGTAAAAGCAGAGAGTAGAATGGTGGTTACCAGGGTCTGGTGGGTGAGGGAATTGGAGATGTTGTTTAAAGTTGCAACTAGTAGATAAATAAGTTCTGGAGATTTAATGCATAGCACAGTGATTATAATCAACAGTATTGTATTATAAACTTCAAAGCTGCTTAGAGACAAGACCTTAACTGTTCTCACCACAAAAAAGGAATGATAATTATATGATATTATAGAGGTGTTGGCTGACACTAAATGGCAATTAGCATAGATGTATCAGACCAACACGTTGTTTAAACTTCTACAATGTTAAACTTACACAATGTTATATCTAAATTTTAAAAAAAGGGTGGGAAAAGACTCTTTCTATAAAGCCAGAAATCATACTCAAGATCCGGTTTTCACTTTAAAAACTGTCAAATTTGACAAATACACAGGAAAGATATAATGAGAATATCAGGCTGTTCCAAGGATACCCAACAGACCCCAGCACCTAGAGCTTCCAAAAGGGGAGAGAGTGGCATGATTTGAAAAACACACACAGCTTTGACATGCAAATGGCCACAGTGTTACTCACCCAAGGAGTATGCCTCATTCAACAGTGTGCTTATGTCTTTAAATTAGTATTTATTGACCAAGAATCTATGCTCTTTAAGTAAATGTAAAAAGCCTGTGGAATCATAGCATAACCCAACTTGTCTTGACTATAAAATACCATTCTAGAGTTTGTATATCAATAACAGCAGCAACATAAACAATACATCCTTAGCCCCCTCTCATTAAAAAATATTGGAAAGAAGCAGTCTTATAGTAGATAAAAAGAAAGATACAGGGATCACACAGTCCAGCAGCAAATGCATTGTGAGAGCTATGGTCAGTGACATCAGTTACATTGTAAATGAATTGGAAGTCCTAATTCTGCTTTAGCTTAGAAATCTGATTATCCTAGAGCTTGTAAGAAATCAACTTTAATCCTCTTTTAAATGTCACTCAACAGGTTCTCTGCTGCATATATAGGATGCAAATTAATTTTTCCTTATCAGATCCTTTCTAATTCATTTTTCTTCCACAGGACATCCTCAGAAATAATTTAAGACCGGACTGAAAATTGTTCCAATCTTGAATAACATGTGTTTGAAGCATATTGTCTCTCCAGCCAGAAAAATCACTCCAGAATCATTCTTCAAAAGCAGAGACCCTTGTTATTCCATATAAAAATTAAACAGGAAATTTTTCTGACATATTATTTCCACATCTAAGCAGTTCTCTGTATGCTTCAGTTTGGGCTCAAAATGAAATTTAAAAATCTCAGCATTGTCTACCCTATTCCAAAGAAACCATATTTTCTTAGTATTGTGTGATCATAGCCAAGATTGAAAGGAGCTGGTAGATATAACTCAGGTTTTATCTCCTTTAGATAGAGAAAAATGGCACCAGTAATTACTCCTTAGAAATGAACCCAAGTCCTAGTTTCAGTCCCAAATCTGTAGGATAACTTCCGAAAAGCTTCATCTTCATAAATTATTTTGAGTTGAAAAACAAATGAAATTTTGTTGTTGTATTGATAATTAGACCCTTTTAAGAGACATAGCTGTTGGAATGTGCCTTTAAACAGTATGAAATGTATGATTTGTATGGTCTAAAACTAAACCTATACCTTGGTTGAATTCATGATTTGGAGATTTAAGATGAAATTTATAAAGCTTTATTAACCATCTTTGAATCTTCTAAGAAAAACTTGGGATGCATGACTTGTATTTCTTTATTTAGATGTAGACACTCACATAAGTGTTAAAAGATTTTATGTGCTCTATACCAGTACTTCCTTTCTGCTGTTTAAAAAATTGATCATTGAAGAGCAATATCACATTTAGAGCTGGGAGGACATCAGTCAGTAATTGTCATTGTCTTTTCTCCCTAAGATACAGATTATTTTGCATTTTAATATCTATATATATAGAGATAGATAGATATACATATATAGACGCAATTGGAAACCCATGTACAGAAGTTGAAGGAGAAGATGGTTGAATAGGAAGTTTACCACCTCCCAGGGACACACCAAGACTGCAACTATATAGAGAGCAACTCTCTCTGAGTACAACCTGAAGACTAGCAGAACAGCTCTTCCACAGATAAAGAAATAAAGAAAAAGCCACATCAAGAAGGGTAGGAGGGGCAGAGATGTGGTCTTGTGGAGAACCAAGCCCTGTGCAGTGACCCTCGAGCAGGATGGGCATCACAGGCATGGAGGTCCTCCCTGAAGAGCAAGGAGTTCAAGCCCCGTATTGGCTAACCCCTGCCCTGGGGATCTGCACCACATCATCAGGGCTTAACTCTGGGAGAGCTGCAGGACTATGGGAAACCAAGACTCCTCTCTTAAAGGACCTGTGCACAATCTCACTCTCTTTGAGACATTGCACAGAAGCAGCAGTCTGAAAAGCACCAAGACCTTCCATGAAGGAAATTTGTTGACTAATTCTAGGGCATGAGCCAGAAGCACAGGGACCTACAGGAACTTGCTCCAAGAAGAAAAGCACTGGCAGGAACCATTTTTCTTGCCCTCCTTCAGCCCAGCTGGCCCAGTGTTGACAAGCACCGTATCTGACTCCCTCCATCTACCTTGTCAACACCACTTCCCCTGCCCCAGCATTCCCTGTGGACCTGCCCTCCTGATCCACCTGCTCTAGCAGGGCCCCTCCAAATTGGTTCCCAAGGGTAAGAGGTTGTGGTGGCCCCATCCAACAGCAACATACCCACAACAGCCCCCATGTTGGGGCTGACCCTGCCCAACAGCATCCCCAGCACAGCTGCAGCTGGGCCTCTCAGCCAGCCCTGACCCCAGTGCACCAGCTGCAGGTTTGGCCAGGTATTGATGACAGCTGGGCTGAGGCCAGCCTCTCCCACCAGCATACCTGCAGTGTCACACAGGAGGGCACATGCAGCCCATACAGAGGACACCCAGGAGCACCCGCTTCTGAGGACCTGTCGGGGTTGCACCTTTGGGCTCACAGGATGCCTCTACATAAGGCCACTACCTTCAAGACCAGGAGATGTAGCTGATCTACTTAATACATAGAAACAAACACAGAGAGTCAGACAAAATGAGGAGACAGAAGAATATGTCCCAAAAGAAAGAACGAGAACAAAATCTCATAAAAAGAATCAAACAAAATGGAGAAAAGCAATCTACCAGATAAAGAATCAAACTAATGGTCATAAAGATGCTCACCGAACTTGGAAGAAGAGTGAATAAACTGAATAAGTATGCCAACAAAGAGAGAAAATATAAAAAAAGAACCAGCCAGAGCTGAGTCATGTAATAACTGAAATGAAAAATTCACTAGAGGGAATCAAGAGCAGATTAGAAGACGCAGAAGAACAGAGCAGAGATCTGGAGGACAGAGTACTAGAAATCACCCATACTGAACAGCAAAAAGAAAAAATAATTTTTAAAAATAAAGAGAGGTTAACAGATATCTAGAACAACAAAAAATTTACTAACATTTATATTATGGAGGCAGGTCCTACAGAATGAGAAGAGAGAGAGAAATAAGAAGAAAACTTATTTGTAGAAATAATAGCTTAAAACATCCTTAACCTGGGGAAGGAAACAGATATCCAGGTTCAAAAAACACAAACAGTCTCAAACAAGAACCCGAGGAGGTCTACATCAAGACACATAATAATTAAAATGTCAAACATTAAAGATAAACAGAGAATCTTAAAAACAACAAGAGAAAAGTAACAAGTTATGTACAACCCTTAAGGCTATCGGCTGATTTTTCAGCGGAAGCTCTACAGGCCAAAAGGGAGGGGCACAATATCTGCAGTGCTGAAAGGAAAAATCCTACAACCAAGAACACTCTTGCCTGTGCTCACTTCAGCAGCAAGTGTACTAAAATTGGAATGATACAGAGAAGATTAACATAGTCCCCACACAAGGATGACACGCAAATTTGTGAAACATCCCGTACTAAAATGAAAAGAATACTCTACCCTGTGAGGTTATTACACAAAATTGAAGGGGAGATAAAGAATTTCCAAAACAACAAAAATTGAAGGAGTTCATCACCACTAAACCAGTATTCCAAGAAACTTTAAAAGAACTTCTTAAGTGGAAAAGAAAAGGCATAACCAGAAGTAAGAAAATTATGAAAAAAAAAATTACACTGGTAAAAGCAAACATATATAGTAAAGGTAGTAAATCAATCACTTATAAAGCTAATATGAAGGTGAAAAGACAACAGTGTTAAAATCAACTATATCTTCAGTAATTAATCAAGGGATGCACAACATAAAAAGATGTAAAATATGACATCAAATACACAAAATGTGTTGGGGGTATAGTGAAAATATAGTGTTTTTAAAATGTGTTCAAACTTAAAAGACCATCAACTTAAAATTCACTGCTATAGACTCCCAGACTCCAAGATAAGACTAGCAATTACCAAAGAGAGGAGGTTGGGGAGGATGAGGAGGAAAGGAGGGAGAAGGGGATTTAGGGGCATTATGGTTAGCACACATAATGTAGGGGGGTCACAGGGAAGGCAGTATTAGCATGAAGAAGACAATTAGTAACTCTATAGCATCTTACTACACTGATGGACAGTGACTGCAATGGGGTATTGGGTGGGACTTGATACTATGAGTGAATGTTGTAACCACAATATTGCTTATGTGAAACCTTCATAAGATTGCATATCAATGATACCTTAATAAAAAAAATTTACTGCTATATACATAGGTTGTTGTATATGAACCTCATGTTAATCACAAACCAAAAACTTACAGTAGGTACAAAAAATGAAGAGAGAGAAAGGAATACAAACCTAACACTAAAGAAAGTCATCAGATCACAAGGGAAGATAGCAAGAGAAGAAAACAACAGAGGAGAACTACAAAAACAACCAGATAATGACAATAAGTTCAAAGCTATCAATAATTACTTTAAATGTAAGTGGGCTAAATGTTCCAATCAAAGGACATAGTGAGACTGAATGAATAAAAAAAAGGAGACCCAAACATCTGCTGCCTACAAAAGACTCACTTCAGACCTAAAGACACATAAACACTGAAAGTGAAGGGATGGAGAAAAATATCTCTAGCAAATGAAAACAAAAATACAACTGGGTTATAAATACTTAGACAAAACAGACTTTAAAACAAAGACTGTAACAAAAGACAAAGAAGGGCATTACATTATGATTAAGGACTCAGTCCAACAAGAGGATATAACAATTGTAAATATCTATGCACCCAACATAGGAGCACCTAAATATATAAAGCAAATATTAACAGACATAAAGGGAGGAACTGGCAGTAATATAGCAATAGTAGGAGAATTTCATACCCCCTTTAAATCAATGGATGGATCATCCAAACAGAAAATCAATGAGGAAATGGTGGCTTTTAATGGCATATTAGACCAGATAGACTTAACAGGTAAATAAAAACATTTTCTCTATAAAGTGCAGAATACACATTCTTTTCAAGTGTGCCTGGAACATTCTCCAGGATAGATCACATGTTAGGCCACAAAAAAGTCTCACTAAATTTAAGAAGATTGAAATCATATCAAGCATCTTTTCTGACCATGTGTGAAACTAGCAATCAATTACAAGAAAAAACTAGAAAAAAACAAACATGTGGAGGTTAAACAAATGCTGTTAAATAATCAAATGGTCAATGAAGAACCAAAGGGGAATCAAAAATACCTTAAGACAAATAAAAATAGGAAAACAATGTTCCAAAATCTTTGGGATCAAGAAACAAGAAAAATCTCAAATAAACAATCTAACCTTACATTTAAAATAACTAGACAGAGGAACAAACAAAGCCCAATATTAGTAGAAGGAAGGAAACAATAAATATGAGAGTGGAAATAAATAGAGACTAAAAAAAAATTTAAAGGTCAATGAAACTAAGAGTTATTCCCTTGAAAAGATAAACAAAATTGATAAACTTTTGTCCAGACTCATCAAGAAAAAAAGACAGAAGACTCAAAGTAATCAAATCAGAAATGAAAGAGAAGTTATAAAGGACACCACAGAAATACACAGGATTATCAGAGACTACCTTGAAAAATGATACACCAAGAAATTAAACAGCCTAGAAGAAATGGATAAATTCCTAGAAACAAAATCTTCCAAGACTGAATCAGGAAGAAATAGAAAATCTGAACAGTGATTACTAGTAATAAAATTGAATCAGTAATTAAAAACTTCCAACAAACCCAGGACCAGATGGCTTCACAAGTGAATTCCAAAAAGTATTTAAATGAGATTCTTCCCAAACTATTCTACAGATCCTTCTCAAACTATTCCAAAAAATTGAAGAGGAAGAAACACTTCAAAATTCATCCTACAAGACAACATTACCCTGATACCAAAGCCAGACAAACACTACAAAAAAAAAAAAGAAAATTACAGTCCAATATCCCTGAACATAGATGCAAAAATCCTCAACAAAATATTAGCAAACTGAATTCAAAAATTGAAAGTACCAATAACCATAGTCAAGGGGAATTTATTCCAGGGAATAAAGGATGGTACAATATTCCAAAACTATCAACACTAACAAAATGAAGGCTAAAAATCATCTCAATAGATACAGACAGAGCATTTGACAAAATTTAACATCCTTTCATCATAAAAACTCTCAACAAACTAGGTATAGATGGAACCTCAACATTATAAAGTCCACATGTGACAGACAGAGCTAACATCATACTTAACAGTGAAAAGCTGAAAGCTTTTCTTTCAAGATCAGGGACAAGACAAGTATGCCCACTCTTGTCACTTTTATTCAACGTAGTAGGAAGGCCTAGCCACAGCAATCAGACAAGAAAAAGAAATAAAAGGCATCCATATTGGTAAGAAAGAAGTAAAATGGCCACTATTTGCATATAACATGATACTCTGTATAGAAAACCTGAAGACTCCACCCAAAAATTATTAGAACCAATAAATGAATTCAGTATAGTTGCAGGATACAAAATCAATATACAGAAATCTGTTACATTTCTTTACACCAATAACAAACTAGCAGAAGGGGAAATAAAGAAAACAATCCCATTTACAATTGCATCAGAAAGAGCAAAACATCTAGGAGTAAATTTAAACAAGGAGATGAAAGACCTGTACTCTGAAACTACAAGATATTGATGAAAGAAATTGAAGATGACACAAATAAATAGTAAAATATTCCATGTTCATATATACACATATAATGGAATACATATACATACAATGGAATCATTACTCAAGAATAAAATCTTGTCATTTATGACAACATGGATAGACCTAGAGGGTATTATGCTAAGTAAAATTAGTCAAAATACAATTTCTTCTGTCAGAAAGAAAAACACTGTAAATTTCACTTACCTGTGGAATCTGAAAAACAAAACAGATGAACAAATAAAATAGAAAAAGACTCATAAGTACAGAGATCAATCTGGTGGTTGCCAGAGTGGGAGATGGGGAGGGTGAAATTGGTGAAGGAGAGAGAAGTACAAATTTCTAGTTACAAAACAAATAACTCACAGGGATGTAAAATACAGCATAGGGAATATAATCAATGATGTTGAAATAATTTTGCTGACAGATGGTAATTTACTTATCATAGTGAGCATTTTTTAATGTACATAAATGTTCAGTCACTATGTTGTATTGTGACCTTAAACCAATATTGTATACCCACTATACTTCCATTTTTCAAAGGTGGGAAAATGAGTACCCATGTGAAGTTAATATGTATTTCTCCCAATATTTTAATCCTATTACTATATTTTAAGAATTTCTCACTTTGGATATCTCAGCAAAATGCAGAACTTATATCCTGGGTGGGAAAAATACTAAAAACTGAGATATTTTCTTTTTCATCCTCTGTTACAGCTAAGTAAGTCACATGAACCAGGATTGGCCCAATCACATAGCTGTCCCAGGTTTGATCACCAAAACCCATGGAAAAAAATTCAGGAATGGCGGAGGACACGTGTTGCAGGCAGTAACGATGGTCCAGGACAGTCTCCCATGTTAACAAGCAGAGGCAATCTTGCCCTCACCAAAAGGGTTTGAAGGCATGATTTATGTCTGAGGTTTACACTTCTTGACCACTTTATCTTACCTGTGCTCCAAGCTAATTTATCCAATCTGACAATTCAGTGAGCCACTCAGAATCCTTTTTAATAACTTCCCTTTCTGTATAATCAGCTAAAACCAGTTTGGATTGCTTATAACAAGGAATCTTGATGAGTACACCCATTTGTGAATGATGGAAACCTAGGGCTTTGCAGGGAAGATATTAAAGTATGAAATATGCTAGCCTGATGTACGTCAATGTTTGGGGGAACCATCGCACACAGTCTCCTAATCATAATTACTTTAATAAAATAGTTAATAGTTGGCCTCTGTAAATTAGACTAAGTAGTGAATGACTTTCCCTTGACATACTTCTTCCACCATAACTGACTCAGCTCAGTTGGCAAACTGGAGGCTGCCTACCTCTTCTATTCAATGAGTACATCTTTTAGATAAACTTAGGCCTAAAATACATTCTAAAATTATTATATTCTGTCTACTCACACATATGTTTGCTGCCCCACTCACCTCCCAAATGGACTAAAAGTCTTGAGCTAGTTTTCCTCAGTTAGCTTCCTCTGGGAACAAAAAGATTATTCTCTACTCTTCCATGCCCTTCTCCATGCTCCAGCAGGCTTACCCTGTCAGGCTGTGCCTTTGATTTGGTCCATGTATAGCAACAATGGCACAATGTTTTTGGCAGAAGTTGTGCCTTGTCTTGACCTCACTTCCTGCTCAGAGAGCCCTTCTGTCTGACTCAGGCCTAGTAGTTGTCTCCTGTTGGTATTTCTATTATGGCCTCTTACTGATGTTGTTGCCTGGGTAACTCAGCATCCTTTGTTCCCTTAACCCTAGCCACATCTCCAAAAATAGCCCCTTCATGAAAGTTTCATTATTCCA